CCAAATATGGGATGAGTTTCAAGTCTTCACCAAATATAAGAAAAAAATATTGGTGTTTCATATTACATTCCTCAAGAAGAGTTTGAGCCATGTAATACATTGTGGCCCACTTAGAACTTGATATCTACAAGATAATTTTGGGGTGAATTAAAAAAGATATATCTCAATAATAAGTGGTTGGCACTAGATATTGATTTTATATAACCCAAGAATGGAGTGTTCTTTAAGACTGGGCATAGGCAACGAGCTGAACCATTATAAGAATCTTGGTATCCTTAAGATCATGAACCATTATAACGAGCTTAACCATTATAAGAAAAAATTAATTTCACCCCTTGTTCATGGTCTAAGTGCAACCTAAAAATCCAATAATTGGACTATTAGATTTTGTCTTGAGATTTTGCTTCCTTATAGTGACTAATTTAACTTATATGTTTCTATCATCCTACTCTAACATTTTAAGGTTCTTATAGCATCAGTTGAAGTGTTTTATGCTGCATACATATTGTGTTAAAACATTAGTATGTTGTGCATTACTTATGGTGTAGTTTAACAACATCATGACTTCTTTGACATGCAAAGTTTGATGCCCTTGTTGCATTATGTCGTCTAAGGTACTAGATGAAATTCTTAAATTACTTGAGGTAGATGTTGGATTCCCATCTTACACCTTTGTGAGTATCTTTACTACATGATGACGAAATAGACATGCGAGTTATAATGGTATCATAACTGTTCTACTTTGATCAAAAAATGAGCATGCAAAGCTAGTTGTGCCCATTTAGGAGAATTCTTCTATGTGTACTCTTTATCCACATTTCATGCCTTTAGGAGTGAGATGTGGAAGATTAAATAAACTGATAATTTTCTAAGAAAATTGAGTTACTAAGCTAGCCAACCTATCCATGCCAAAATCTCAAATGGACCATCAAAGCACAACACTAGGCCTTTGATAGTGTTTTTCTTTAATGATGTTTGTGTAAGGATCTTTATTAAAGCTAGAAGAATACAATTGAGAATATTAAATTCATATTTCATTTTGGTATTGGTTTGCATTCTCTTCATACGTTACACTATCCCTACCAATGCTTTGTTCACTTGTATTACACATATCAATCATAATTAGGCAAACTTTCATGTTGCCAGGTAGTGTGTCAATCTCTTGTTTTCAAGTTTTGATGAGTTTCACAACTACTGTCTCATTACAACTCAAACAATTCATTCTTAGACTCCCGTGCAAATTCAATAAAAAATGGACAACTTCTTAGAGCTTTATTAATTTTTTTAATTTGGGGTACTCTAATGAGGGGTGTTCTTTCAACATATTAGGCCATCTCTCTATAGGTGTCAGCTTTAGGAGAATTTGAGTCATCTAATATTCTCAAAGAAGAGTGCCATCTAAATCCACTTGTGAATCAAATGTCTCAATTGATAAGAATGTACTTTAATAGTCCTTCAAATTTGATCATGTTTGACATGAGCTTTGGTGATACAGATTTTGCTTTCATATCTATGTGAATCGAGAAAAATATTGCATACTTTGAGAGACAATCAATGATGAAAAAGATTGCACAATAACTCTTTACTCTCCTTTGAGTAACTATTAAGCCCATCGAAATAAACGTTCATAGTCATCTTAAAATTAAGACGCACATTAATATGTTTAACTTGTTTTGCTAATAGATTAAACGGATATAGGCTTACACATCTTCGTCTTTTTATGACCAATAGAAGTTATCAAATTCTAGAGTCAATATGTATTATTGTCTTAAGTATCACACATCATGTGTTTTGTGTGCCTCACACAATAGACAACAATGTAGTTTGCTTGCATGTGATATATTGTCATTGACCGCATGTATATAATACCATATTATCTATTGAAAGCATTGTCTCAATTGTAGCTTTGTACTTGGTTGTAGAAGGTACACTATTGATTACAAAGATCATATCCCTTGAGTGATTAAATTAATATTCAATTATAAGTTTTTCTCACACAAAAGTTGAAAGAATATTATTATAGAAAATTTCTAGTAGTTCATGTTGACTTTAGATGTTTAGCAAAAAATGATGAAGTATATGTTAATTTATGATTGATTTTGTTTCTCCTCTTCACATATGAAGTTATCTTAATATGAAAGACATCAGCACTTCAATTACATAGATAATGATTGATTTTCATTCTTTTTCCTTGACTCGTGCTCTTCTTGACATTGGACCAAGGTTCAAAGAACTACTCTAATTTACACCTTATTCTCTACATAAAATGTTAGAAAGATTCTTCAGAAAGTAAATAAGTTGGAGACGATTGTCATAAAAAAATTAACTATTTGAGAGAGTTTGAATTTATAAATAATTATGATTCAAAATATTTCTCCTATTGTTCATATTTTATCAATGTTAAAATTCTAAAAATAGTTAGAAATTTAAATGAGTTTGGTTATTGACGTGACTTAGTCGTTGTATAGTAAATCATATAAATTTAAAATTTATAAAACTAAAAAATACCAATTTTTAGATATTTAGAAGTATTTCTAAAAAAATATATCAATTATAATTCAATAAAACTTCTAAAAATAATGATAATTTTTCAAGTCAATCACAAGGATGTAATATAATATTAGATAATTTTTTATAATTTTTTTCAAAGAATAATTTTTTTTATGAATTTTATACTAAAAAATGAAAATAAAATATATTTAAAATTCACAAAAAAAGGAAATAAGGGTGCAGACATCATGATGACATTAACACTCGACGAACATGAATTAGACAAAAATAGAGTTCCACTTGACAATTTTTACGTAAGTGATTATAGATGATTTAATTGATCAAATTAAGATCTATAAAAGCCAAAAGAATTGTAATTAAATGAAATATAGTTTGTTAAATTTAAATCACACAAATTATCATTAGATGAAGTGAAAATTAAGTTGAAAACAGAAAAATAAAGTTTCGACATCGCGACGGTAATGTGTCGACGATGCACTGAAATCTTGAGTGTTTAGTAGGATCGTCGTATAGTGTCTACAGCCTCGAAGGCTCTCCTTAGACAAAGATGATGTGGGCAATCTCTAGATCCCCTTGTAAAGTTTGAAGATAAATAAAATAGATCATCGAATTGTCTTCAATAGCTATCACTCGGCAGAATGGAAAAACAGCAACTTTGTGACTCTTTAGCAGTTGTCACCTAATAAAGAAGAGCTGGATGAACGTGGCATACGTGTTAAGGAGTTTCATCCTCAAGTCTGCGCAGCAAGAGGAGGCTCTTCATTGCATCTAATATACTCTCATGAGGTGACGACTCATCTCCTGATGAATCGTCTTCTTCCTAACGATGATTTATTCGTTGATCAATCGGAGATGATTTACTCGATGGATTCATGATTCTTTTATCGTGAATCATTCAACAATTTGAGTAAGAATATTCTATGAATCGCATTGACGAGATTTTCGTCAATGATCTAGTGATTCTGGTAACTTAATCCTTCACCGGTGATCTATAAGAAAATCATGGTAATTAGATAAAAATACGAGTTTTGACTGTAGAAGGATTCGAACCTGCACCGATTGTTTGTTTATATGAGAGAGATTGAAATAAGTACTATAATGCTTTTATAAATTGACGTCATCATGGGATATCTCTATTATAATAAAGGGGTATTTTAGGTATTAAAATCTTCAAACCCTTACGAGGGAAGGTGTGACATGGGTTTAATTTCACATCACTTGTGCACTAATATTTTGGGTGAATATATAGTAACATTACATTTACAAACAATGAGTCATTTTCTCTTATTTCTACAACTACTCTTTGTCCCATAGCTAACTGACTACTAGTGACGTGGAAGGAGTGTGGTGCACATATGCCCCCATCGGTCCTAACCGCTCAAGCCCCTACTCGCAGCTCCCCCCAATTGTGCTTCCAACCTGCTCACGGGCCCGATTGGTCGGCGGGTCCCTCCCATTTTTCTATATTTTTATTTTTATTTCTTTTTCTTTATTTATCTCAAAAATAAGACTATAAAAATCATATAAATTCGTAAAAAATCACATAATTAGCTAAAAATTAACGTTCATCAACTGAAAATAACTTTTCACACTTCAACATAAATATAAGTCTATTTATCATGAGTTAAGGTTAAAATTATATTATTTAGTAATTATTAACTTATGATAATGAAGACTTATCAAATATCCTCTAATGTAAAACCAATATGCATGACTATTAAGCATGCATGTATATATCCAAAACTTATTTGCTCAAGAGTTCAATAGGAGTATGCTATTATTAAAATAGAATCAAAATAATTTTGAAATAAAGTAATGAATTTACATTCAAAATTAATCCAAATTACTTCAAATAAATTAGGAATACAAAGTAGTTAAACTAACTCTTGATTTCAATACAAACCATCATTTCAATGACTTATGATATTCTAATTAATATTTATTAATACTCTGAAATTACAATTACTGTTTTAAATAGTTCAAATTTGATCAAGTAATTCAACATCAATATAATCAAAAGTATGAGACAAGTAGTATGATGGATAGGCTTTCACACATATTTTACTTCAACAATTCTTATTAAATCTAATTTATCAATTATTACTCTCTTTGAGTATCAATTCTTGTGAACATTCATATTTCTCATACTAATAAATAAAGCAATAATTTTGAGAGATAAATTAAAGAATTAAAAAGCATGAGACTCAAATATATTCATTGAGGCACTCTTCGAGATCAGACTTTGTGCTAACCATAAGAAGCTTTGTATGACGAGGACACTGGATCTTGAGATATGGGGTATAATGACACACACCTAAAGGGAGTCGTGGTTGGGCCCACAATAAGAACCTGCGCCACCAAAGCAATAAGATTATTTCTCCCCTGCGAGTCAAAAAACTTTTGGTGTCGCAACGATGACCAACGCCGCACGGGGTGAAGCAAGAGAGGTATGTATTTCCGTCCACCGGTGTGACAGAGCAGCCCGGGGG